AGATATCGCTTAAGAGCTACTAACAGAAAAGCTAACGTATTAACTTAAAGAGAAACTAAGATCCTAAGAGCAAAAGAGGATCCTAATCTGTATTAGACTCTTCTGCAATCAGATATACTATCTAAGGAGGTAAAAGACGACCTAAAGATCTTAGTAGTGTAGACGTTGCTAAAGAAGGAAGATTTGCTGCTCTGAAAGAGGATAGAGAAAGAGAATTAGATTAATAAGACGTTCAATACAATTAGGATAGAGAAACGAATAGAGAACCTAAAGAAGAAAATATTTGGGTATAACATTCAAAATTATGAAGATAAGAAAGAAGTGCTATAGTACAGAGAAAAACTGGTAGTATTAGTAGTAATAGTGACAGATATGATTTAAGAGATCTACAAGAGTAAGGAGACTAGGCACTTAGGCTGTATACAAAGACAAGAAAGGCTATCGCGAATAGTAGGTACTACATCTCAAATAGATACATATTAGTCAGGAGATTCTTACAGAATTATCATGTCTGCAAAAAGACTAAACCTGTGTATTAGCTCTTTACAAGCTTGTTATTCTCTTCTGATTCCTAAGCGCCTCTAACAAGATATCTTAATATTAAGTAAGTATTATCTATAAAGCTAAATTCTAGCGTTCTTTTTTTTAGGTTTTAAAACTATTCTAGTAGACTAGATATAAAGAATAAGAACAAGATTAGTAAGAGAGAAAAACCTTATAGAATGCCTATATTAGTCTTAATCTAGTCGCTTTTATACCCTATATATATAATATATATATGCCTTATATATAAAAAGTATATAACTACTTAGATAAGCTAATCTAGAAGGCCCTTTTGCCTAAGGATATCTAGTAGCTTATTATAAAGAATATTGTTAAAGGCCCTTAAGAGGTCTAGGCTTAATATTAAGACTATACTTTCTGATATTAACAGGCCTATTATAGAAGCTATAAATCTGTCTCTTCTTGCCCTTATCTAGGTCTAGAGGAGTAGAGAGTATTATTCCGCTATATTACTTAGGCGAGTCGCAAGAACCTTCTTAATAATCTTTGCTAGTATATTCTTTAAGGCAATTAGCCTATAGCTACTAGGTAGTAAGTAATCCTTCTTGCCCTCTTTATGCAGGACTATTATAGTTGATTCCTTATACTATATTAGAAGCGTACTATATATAAAGGCTATATAAATGTTATATGCTAGTCTAGCTGTGATTTCTAAGGCGATTCCCTTAAGGACCTTGTTTAGAATATCATCTGGCCTTATAGCCTTCCTGCTTAGGAGCCTATTAATTACTGCTAGTACTTTCTCTGCTAAGACAAAACTATTAAGTACTAATATCTAGTTCGCCTGAGTCATATATATAGGCCGCAAGGGATTTATAAGGCTTACTAGGGGTGCCGGGAAGAATTTCTCTCTGTCAGGATTTAAGCCCTTTTGTTATCTGATATAGTTAGCTCGCCTTTCTTATTCTGCTGTAGAGCAAGGATATAAAGGTCAGTGTATAGCTTTCTTACTACTTGTCTACTCTATTAGAAAAGCTCTAAAGCCTGTTATTCCTTTATTGTTTCTTAGTATTAGTTAAGTTATTAACTAGGCGTCTCTAGTTTACTCTTAATATCTGCTATATCTCCTTCTTTAGCTCCTTAGAGAAGAGCATCTAAAGCTATAAAGGTCTTTTTGTTCGTAAGTAGTAATATACTTATGTCTTATATGCTTTATGTATACTAATAGTATGCTAGCTTTAGGAGACTAACTTAGACGTATTCTTAACTAGTCTAGCTCTAAGGCAGTATTATAATAGTAAGGTCTCTAAGGCTTCTTAGATGCTTTGCAGTAGGCTCTTTATCTAATTCTATTAAGTTTAATACAGTACTTTTATAAGGTCTTTCCTGTCTAGCTTTATAAGTATAAATCATATATGTTTTGCTAATGATCCTTATAGCGCTTAGATATCTAGATCTATTCTAATAGAGATGTGATCTTGTAGTAGAGCCTAACGCTCTTCTAGGCTGTAGAAGGTTACTTAATTACTTAGTACTTATAACATAAATATAAGGTTAATTACTAAGCTATAGATGCCTCTTCTTTAGATTGCCTCTCTTCTTAAGGTTAGCAGTCTAAGATTACAGCGATTAGCTTTATTAAGCAAGTGATTTACACCTTATTTATATATAGTACTAGTACCTCTTTAAGCAGGGTAATAAGTGTTAAAGTCTCTTAGTAATAAGACCTCTTTCTTAATCTTACTAAAGGTATAGACTATATGTCTTTATTTATATATATATAGTTCGCCTACTCTTAGATTATACATGTTCAGAATTATTAGCTTACTATTTTAAATAATTAAGGCCAGACTTATTATATTTAGGCTGTACTGCTTTCGCTTCTAATTTGTTATACTTACGTCTCACCTTATTATAAAGCATACCCTGGTTTTAGGGCAGGCTTTATAGGCTAGTTTATAAGGCTTAAAGCAGTAAATAAACTAAGTATATTTATTAAAAATTAGCTTTTAAATTGCTAGGACTTAAGGTTATATAAAGTTATTAAAGAAGGCGTAGCTCTCTTATAAGTTGCTATTACTATAGTTATATTAGATAACTAAGAGCCTATAGTTTATTTAGGCTTAGGTCAGTATTACTTATATCTGTGATTATTATGCTTCTCGCTTATAATATAGATGTATTATTCTAATTAATAATAAGCCTTTGTTAGAAGGAGCTTCTTATTGCTTACTTAATATAAGTAAGTTATTTAGTATAGCGTTAGTTATTATTTATATTAAAGGACTAGGCTCTTGTCCTTTTATATAAGATTAGCGTTTACTTATTACCTTATACTTATTAGCCTAAGGCTAGCTATTTCGTTTCTGCGCTTATATTATGTGCTATAGCTATATATATACTATACGCCTGTGTGTATAGTGTGATTCGTCTGCGCTAGATACCTTTGTGATACAATTAGTAGGACAGGTATGCCCGGCTCTGCTATGCCCTGTGCTGCTTACTGTAGTTGGCACATAAGACTCTCTTAGTCATACACTCTAACGTGGTATGTTGACCCGCACATTGTGCGTAGTGTGCCTGCTTCCTGTATGCGTATTAAGTGTGACCCTACTGCTAGCACTTGAAGCATCATGTAATCTAAAGGGACTTTTCAAACGGCCGCGTTTCAAATAGCTGGGCGTTCATGATTAGCCCTTTGTAGAGTGCTATACGTTACATCTCTTCTGTCAGGAATCCCACTATCAGGGATCCCCTTGTCTTGACGCGCTCTTCGCATGCGTCTTGTATACATTACGCAGGCGTTTTATAAAAGTAAAGTCATCTGATTTTTGTAATCTAAAGCTCTAAAGCAATAGATTCAGAGGCTTTATAAATAGCTTATATTAAAAACGTATTATTAGCCTTCTTTTCTGCTACTACTAATACTAATAAAGATACTCTTGATATCTTGACTTAGTAGTCCTTTTTAAAGATCTTAAAGTCCTTAGTAAAAGAAAGGGCCTATGCCTTGTCTCTTGTAGCTTTTATTAGTAAGAATATATTAATATTACTATTATATATTACTTGAATTACTGCTGCTCCTAGTATTGTTTTCTTAACTTCTTTAAGTATTTCCTTATTTAGTAACTCTTTTGTTTAAGGTACTTAGACCCTAATTATATAATTAATAAAAGGGGTTATAAGTAAACTATTTATTAGCTATATCCTTATTATAGTAATGCTTACTTAGATTACGCCTTAAGATTAGGGATTAGGTATAGCCTTAAGAGAGGTCTTTAGTAGCGCTTTAATATAGTCAAGCCTTGCCTTAATCCCTTCCTCTACATTTCTTATACGTATTCCCTGCGGTACATGTTTAATAATCATGTTGAGCTGCTTCACCAGCTCTCTTCTGCTTATTACTACTCTGCCATTGTTTTCCCCTTCTTTTTTGAGACTCTTAGTAATATCTATCAAGTCTTTCTTTATTTGTTGCCAATTAGTGTAGCTTTTCCTTTCCTGGTGTTCTTCTCCTTCTCTGTTCGTCTGTCCCCTTAGGGAGCATGCTTAATGCGTGCGAGCCGCACGCGTTTCACTGCTATCTCCCTGGATAGCTATAGCTTTACTCCGGCTCTATAAGCCTTGTTCTTATTGTTACTTGCTTGTTTACTTCAGAAGATTTACTTTGTACTTGCTTAAGCCTTTCTAAATATCTTAATACTCTTATATATAAAATTTTAAGAAGAAATTATAAAAAATCTACTTTATAAACCTAGAACTATTCTATAGTAATAATATTTAAGGCTACTTTAAAAGAGCTATACTCTATATATAAAATTAGTATAAAAAGGTAGCTATAAAGAGTACTTCTAAGTTAAATTAGATAATTATTATTACTATTAAGTCTATAATTTAGCTATTATAAAATAAGGCAGGCTATTTAATGCCCTTTCTAAAAGACCTATTAATGCCTTTTATAAGGCTAGAGGAAGCAGAAAAGGCATTTAATAGTCTATATAGTTCTGTAGCAAATATAATATCCTTATTTATTACAAATCACGTTATTAGGATAGGCATTTACTACCCTTATAACAAATATAAGGAGTTTTGCTACTATTTATTATGATTCCGAATATAATTAGCTCTTTATAAATAAAGTTTTTATACAGGCATCTAATTAGTTTATTTTTAATTAAGGTTACAGGCGCTAAGGACCCTAGGTTCTAATACAGATTAATTAAATAAATATTAAATTTTACTGTGGTTTAGTGGATATCAAGCGAAATAGCGCGAAACGCAGATACTAAAAATACACGTGTGGCTAACGCAAAACGCGTATCAAATCTGTAACAAAACGCTGGTGACACACGTAGCAAAATAAGCGTAAACTGTATTTTTGGGTTCTACAGCACTCATTACTACGGGTGGAGGCATAATGTTTATCACCTCTGCACTAGTATCTTTGGACCAAAACAATTACCAAACAAGCGAGGCTAAGCAGCACTAATCCAAATATGGATTTATTGGAGTTCGTGGTCTCGTTTGTATGGTCTGCTTGATGTTGTAAGCTTTCGACAACCAATTAGCTATCTGTGGACTCAGATCAGAGAACTAGTCACTACTAGCACTGTATTGACAAACATTACTACGGGAGGGGCCTGAAGGATTGTTAGTCTGGTGCTAGGAACAGCTAGTTCTTATTACAGCGACATAGTGTCATGATTCGTCAATATAAAGCTTGTTCTGTGTGCATCCATTCTAATAAGTCAAATCATTACATCTAACTTCTTTTGAGCATCGCGGCTCTGTACAGAGAGAGTTTACAAGCAAAGATACTAGCGCTGAGCTGACAACACTTCAGGCCCCCCCGTAGTATGCCTCCTACCGTAGTATCCTTGCATATTCCGGTCTGGCTTCTGACTGGATGCAGTTGGTTGTCCCTGAGATTCTCGTGACACAGATCGGTTGTTTTTATCTGGCGGAAAGACGACGCTCGTATTGCATTTGGGGGGAGATGGTGGTTGAAAGCTGCCTGGTGTTAGAAGTTGTTGCAAATAGCATACGGAGATACCAATTGAATTGATTGAGTTACTCATATCAAGAGGAGCATTTGCTCACACTAATAGCTATAGAAGCGCATCACTGCAACAGCTTAGAAACAGCATTTGGCGTTCAATTCGTATAGCAATGCTCACTGCCATAAATAACAGGGCGTAAAAGTTACAAGAGCGTTTCGTGCGTTTCGCATGCGGGGACCCATGTATCATCCTGCTAATACGTAACAGATACGTATCGTATGCGCAGGGATTCTGACACCTGGCACCTGCTCTCGCAACCACCACATGTATTTGCAGAGCGCACTCATCCAGCTTGTCTTTTTGTTGCTTTTGACCGTGGAAGATAGCTGTATCAAGATAGTTGAGCTTTGGCAGACGCTGCTTGCTCCTCGCTTTGGCTCAGAACATGCTACATTTCCTTTGCAAGCGTCACATAAGATAACCCCCATGAATAACCCCATCTTAAACGAACAGCGAGTTGCCATACTCAAGGCACTTGCTGAGGAGGATGCCTCTGCTCCGTCTGCATCGCTGTTAGAGAGCCAGTTCCAAGAATCGAATGGCAATGTCGAAAAGGCCTTGTCGGCGTTGGAGCAGAGCAGGCCTGCTGATGCCCAGTCAATCTCCCATGCCCGTTTTCTGAACTCTCTCGTCGATGTCACCAGTGGTCATCTACAATTTATCAAAGCAATAAGGACTGAAAGCCCCAGGCAGATAGTATACGAAAAATTGCTTTGCATTTCAGCAAGAATGCTTTGCAGTCTCTGGTGCAGAAGACGCAGCAGCCTCAGAAACCATCCACCTTCAAATCAGCTGCACAGCCAGAAGAGAAGTCGCTTGAAATCGGCGAGGAAGTTGGTCCAAATGTAACTCAGCTCCGGCGCAATCTTTTCGCTGCTGAGCCAACTGCCGTAGTACATCGGATGATTCTCGACAACGAGACCAGTCTGCCAAATGAGACGAACCAGCACATTTGCGACATTCTCGACGAAAATCCATCATTCAACATCAGATCAGAGCCCGTCTCTGAGATTTTGGCCTCTTCCAAGGTGTTCAAGTCTTTGGCGGATGAGCAGAAGCCAGCGGTAGAGTCTGATTTCAAAACCCTCCAGCGCGTCCAGACGATGGCGCCAGTTCCAGATGCTATCCCAACCATGTTGAACAACAATCTGACTACGTCTCTTCAAATATCCTCAATTCCGGAAGATTCCTTTGTCGCTGGCTTCTCTTCTACTTTTGGGGATCCAGTTGTTGCCAGAGCATACACCGTCATGCAACAGCCCAGAGAGTCCGCAACGAGGGATTCCTCATCTCCACACTCCAGACCATTCGGGGATCGGGTCTTCGAGTGATCGACGGCATCTCAGACAAAGAAACGGTAGACGACAGAATAACGACCTTCAAAAATGTCGTCAATACTGCCAAAACTCAGGTCGATCTAGAGCGCTTGTTTGGATCGATTGACTACTGCGAGTGCTCTGACTGCAACTCCGTCTACAGCCCGGCTTCGTACTTTGTCGAGCTGATGGAGTTCTTGCGACACTCCAATCTACGCACAGGAAACCCACGTATTGGCTCTTCCAAGCTCGAGGGCACGCAGTTGGAACAGCTTCTGCTCAGGCGACCTGATCTGCAATGTATCCAGCTGACCTGTGAGAACACTAACACTCTGATCCCGTACATTGACCTCGCGCTTGAAGTAATGGAATCCTACATAGTGTATGCTCCTACCATCAAAGCATACAACGTCAATGGAGAGACTAGCGCGGAATTACTTGCTGAGCCTCACCACACCAATGCCGAAGCATATGTTGTGCTGCGTGAAGCCGTCTATCCCTTGAGTCTCCCGTACCACCTGCCTATTGACACTCTTCGAGTGCTTCTATCCTTTCTGAAGACTTCTCGAGCGGAGTTGCTTCATCTTTTCCAACCAAACTTTGTCGCCGACTCTGGTTCAGCCCAATCTAATGAGGAGAGTAGCCGTGCCTACGATGCTGAACAATTTGATCACCCAGGAGGAGTATGTCATACTGACACACGAATCCTTCATCCCGCCTGGCCAGCAACAAGGAGGCTGCGGCCAGGGCTGTCAGTGCTCCAGCTGCTCTAGATCACGATCCAAGTACGAGCAGCAGATTCGCCTTCACAAAAGCTGGGAATACTTTGGCTACGAGACGAAAGCAGAGCTGCTAGACGACAGCCCGAAGCCCAAAAAGGGTTTGACCTGGGTCAAGGCACAGTTCCTTCCCCGTACTGGGATCGTTTACACAGACCTTGTTTCCCTCGTGTCTACAGCCTACGTTAATCCGAATATGCCAAAGGGAAAAGCACTGGCTACAATGCTGAAAATCAAGTTCAGCTACCGCTTCCTCTCCTACCTTGTCGACAAGAAACGGCACGACAAGCGCCGTAGATATGCAACTCTCATCAAATTCCTCAGCTTTGCACAGCCTCTCATCCCGCTCATCGAGTGGGCAAAGGTTCGCTTAGATCCATGTGCAGACAGCAACGATGATTCTGGCGGCTGCGGATGCCACGGCCACGCTGCCAAGCATGATGACCGTTGTTGTTGTTGCTGTAATGGACACGACGAATGGAGCAATTGGGTTTACACCTGGTTCGAAAGAATCGGATGCATCACTGTATTAGAGTCGGGCGAAGGCCCCCAGCCGCCAAAAACAGGCCGACTCTGGGCAGAGCCTCAAAGATTCCTTGCGTGAAGTGCACAAGCTGCACCTTGCTCGACACAAGTTGTCAAGAAACCGAAATTCATTGGAGTACTGCAGGACGATGGCGCTGTTGTCGATCAAAATATTGTGGTTGCCTTTGTGACTGTCGACAGCCGCATAATTGACGTGCACACCGGGAAAAACCTGGAGATGGATGGCTATCAGTTGAATGTTTATGAGAGTGATCCTGTCGAGGGAGAGGAATTAACATGCCAGTCGCTGTAGTACAGAAACAAGTGCTCATGTACTGGCCACCACACAGTGAAAGCCTTGTTCGAGCATCGTGGTCTCAACCACAGGATACATGCGACATTGAAAAGGTTCGTCTTCTGCATCTCGATGGATCTGCTGTCCAGCCTGAAGAGTATGAGCGCATGGCCCGGTTCCTTAGGCTCTCTCGCAAGATGGGCTGGAGCATCGAGGATACCGATGCTGCCATTGCTGGTCTTGGGAAGATCAAGAAAACCAACACAACAAATCTCACTGTGTATGCAACCAAATCACATCACGAGAAGACAGATCAGTACGAAAACGACACGAGTTCATCCACACAAATCGCAGACATTTACCCAGAGACAATCCACCAGCTGGTAGCGGTGAAGAAGCTGCTCGAAATTACCGGATTTCCTATTCAGGTTCTGTTGGTATTCTGGACTGATATGGAGACCTCAGGTCCAAACTCCCTATATGCCCAAACCTTCCTTACTCACAATCTGATCCGCATGGATCCAGTATTCCAAGCTGACGATGATGGTAACTTCTTAACCGCTGACACCAAGATTTCAGATCACATTCGGGTTATCATGACAGCCCTGCGGCTCAAAGCAGCAGAAGTTGACTTGATCCGTACTGAGCGAAATATTCCAGATCAGTTGACTTTGGCTACAATTTCAGAGCTCTACCGTGTCTCCAAGCTCCTCAAGTATCTGTCCGTGAAGATTGACGCACTACCAGATATCAAAGGAATATTTGGAGAGCCATTCGACAGTCCAGACACCACTCTAAAGCTCCTCGAGTCCTGGCAAAAGATAGTGGATACCGGCTTCTCTTTTGTCCAACTGAACTAGCCTCATCCAAGGCAATGACAATCTTGCGCACCCCTTGGCACCTTCAACCGTGCAGATCTTACGGCTCAGCAAAACCATATATGATGGCCTAGGGGACATTGATAAGCAATATCCGGATGTGATCGAGGCAGACATCGAGAGCACAGGTGGAGATGTACTTCAGATCATCGCCACTATCCTTGCTCAGATGTTTGAGTCTTCTTTAGCCGCCAAGATCAAAGATCTCGTCAGTGGACAGTTTCCCTTTACAACCAACGCTCCCACTGGACTGGTCTTGTCAGGAGCGCTGCCAGACAAGGTCAAGTATGTGGAGCAGAAGACTGCAAAACCACCGACGGCACAGCTCAACATCACTGGAATATTGACTGCCGATGAAATAGCAGCCACAAAGGGCCTCTCTGCCAATACCTTATGGGCTGCCGCGGTGGATCGCATCATCAACCAGGGGACCAAGTTCTACAAGCAGACCCTCGCGAGCATTTTCCCAGAGGATGGCGCTACCATTTTGCTGCAAGGTGATACGGCAGATACTATCAAGGTCAAGGGCTTCTATCTTCTGAAATACTTTCTGCCATATCTCCGCTCGCATCTTGCCACAAAGCTTGTCCAGACTACAATTTCAGATGCGACCGGATTCTCTCTTGAGGTGGCATCTTATCTGCTCTATGCTTTGCGTGTCAACGACAGCCGATCCGCTCTAGAAGAATTCTTGGCATTGCGAACAGCGCCGCTCCAGGATTCTACTGCATGGAATGGATTCCTGATTCCCCCGTCCTCGGACAAGTTCACGCTCGCTGTAGTCAGTGACACGAAGCCGTTGGACATGATTCTGAATGACCAGCCTGTCGCATTCCCAGATCAGTCAGAAGATCCATCAAACTTGTGGTTTTCGAAGCCTGTTGACCTGACAGCTGGCGTATTATACAAGATCCAGCTGAACGGAATCATCCCGGATCAGCTACGCTGGAGCACAGCCACCATCCCCCAGGTGGGCATCTCAAGCCGGTCAATTCTGCCCTCCCTGTCCGTGAGCTCCGTCGAACTCGTCTTCACCAAGCTGATCAAGGCTGGCTTGGCTATTGAAGGCTTCAACCTGTCACTTCCTGAAATTGTGTACCTTCATGACCATGGCGAGGACTTCAAGGGTGACGACGGAGCAGCCCTGAAGATCGAAGAGCTCTCCCTCACCACCTGGCAACGCCTCTATCGGTACACAACGCTGAGGAATAAGCTTCCGAAACGATCAACAAGGCTCATAGACCTGTTTCATTGGGCCAGTCTGCCATCATCTCTGCCCGCAGATATTCCCAAGCAGATTGAAGCTGTTACGCTGTGGGATCCAGTAAAGATACAGAGTCTGCTGACGGGCTACAACGCCACCAATACTGCTTACTTCAAAAACGAGGTAGTGCTTGTCAAGCTCCAGCTGGCTTTGGATTTTGTGTCCAAGACCCAACTGTATATCCCACTGCTGTTTGAGTTTGCTGCGCCATCAACGTTGTCTGATGCTTCCTATGCCGAGCTTGAATCTCAAGCGGTTACACTCAAGCATGCCCTTCAGGCGAGGTACACTGCCACTGAGTGGGAGCAAGCTGCAAGACCTCTCTTCAACATCCTCAGAAAGAACCAACGGGATGCACTTGTTGCATACCTCGTGGTGGAAGAGTCGCTCGTGGCAACGCGCCTGATTAAAGATGCTGACAGCCTGTTTGAATATTTCCTCATCGACTGCCAGATGAGCGCCTGCTTGGAAACAAGTCGGATCAAACAAGCCATCTCGACCATCCAGCTCTACATCCAGCGATGCCTCTTTGGACTTGAGGCCGAGGTGGGCACGACCGACTTGGAGCTGATCAGCAGAGAGCGCTGGAACTGGATGAAGAGATATCGTGTTTGGGAGGCCAATCGCAAAGTCTTCTTGTATCCGGAGAACTGGATCGTCCCCAGCTTGCGCGATGACAAGACGCAGTTTTTCCTCGACTTTGAGTCCCAGCTGCAGCAAAAGGACATAAGCATGAAAAGCGTAGCCGAAGGCTTGAAACAATACATATACAATGTCGCGTCTGTGGCGAACATGAAAGTATACGGCCTGTTCAAGATTGAGGTTCCAGCAGATCCCTCCGACACATTCCCATTTGGAGTCAACATTGTGGCACGCAGCATGAACGCGCCTTTCGAGTGGCACACGAGATCACTCAACTCCAAAGGGTATTGGTCCTGTCAACCTGCTGTGCAGAGTGCGTCGAGA